CGTTGTATTTCTTAATTTGGATAAAAATAAATCAGTGGGACTCATAAATGGTGAATAAAATGTAATTACATTATAAGCAATTATCTTTAGTTATCCGTTAACGGTGAGCAAAATGTAATTATACGTAATTTAATGAGACTCGTGTACAAATAGATATTATCTTGTACTTATCCCAAATGAATTAAAAAATGACTCATAAATAAAAAGTAAAAAAATAATTTATATTTTTAAGTGTTAAGTCTATGTGAGAATTTAAGAATTTAATGGAAGATACTATAATTTATATCTTGTACTTATCCCAAATGATTTTTGATGTGAAAAATAATGATACGAAACTTATAACTATTACTAGGTGAAATGATATGATTAAAGTAGCAAATAAGACGGTGGTGATTTCAAAATCCTTGTCCATGCAGATGGATAAGGGCTATGAAGATGGAACTGGAGGTGGAAACAATTCAGAACTAATGAATTCAATGGAGCACTTGTTAAGAGAAGAGAGAGCACAGATGAGAAGTTGTTAATGGTACAAGCAGGCAATGGTTTGTGAACAATCAACTGGATGAGATCATAGGCCTCAAAATGTTTGATGGAGATAATGCTTCTTCATTGACTGCCGCGTTTTCACACTGAGAAAAACAAGAATGATGTTTCCTTCCACGACTCTGATGATTCATGGTCCATCAATGGGAAAAGATCATCAACTTGATTCTGAGTTAAGGATCGGTGTAGGGATGGTTCCCGAGATCCAAGCTACTCAACAAGAAAATGGGAAATGCTCAAAACAAACAAAAGGCTGCTTCTGTATCATATGAACCAGGTGACTTTTACATGATGCCTGGACGTGATTCAGCCGAGGAAAATCCCCAACTCCCACTATGATTTATCTTTGTAATCCCGTTAAACGACTTCGGTAATTAAAAGGAGCATTGTTCACTGCAGAGGTCCGGGATTCAAGTATTTATATTTATAGAGTTTTTGCATTGTGATTAATGACTCTTATTAGACACTATATTGTAATATCATACTATTAAAAGAATATTATTTTTATAAATATTGTTGAACACTGATAATTTAAGAAAAATGAAAAATAATTGAATCGGACATCACATAGAATATGAGTGATACATTTCTAATGAACTAAAACCCAAGCCAATCTGAAGGCTCATTCTTCTCAATTTATACCTTACAGCCTACAGGCTCTGTATAGGAAGCAGCCTTATTGTGACTGAAATGGAAAAGCTAGCCTAAGCACAACCCCAAATTAGAGATTTCCATCTGAATTTTGTTGGACTACTCTCTAAATTTTTTATAAAAACTAAATTCGAGCTTAAACTCGAGTATAGATAATTGAGTCTGAAGTGAGTATGACATCTAAAATTTATTTTTTATTAGTTAAATGAATCTGATTAAATAATTTAAATAATCTAATTCTTATATTAAATCAAGTTAAAAAAATTCAAAAGTAACAACTTGATCAAATTCAAACAAAAATTATTTTGATCCAACTCGTGTTTTTACATCTTTTATCTCGGCTCGATTCGATTACAATTAAATTGCAAACATGTATTCGTCTTACTGGTAAAAAACACCAATCAATCACAAATCCCTGGTATTGTGGTACCATATGTTTCTCTGTGTTTCAGCCATTGTCAAGCCACCATGAAAGCTTCATGCTTTTAATCAGACGGCAAAGACTATATTCAAGAGATCATTTACCCAAAGACATGATTGTCTCAATTGGAATGAAACAATGGAATTTATCCCCTTTTGTTTCACCCTCCAACCATTGAATTTCGTTCACATTCAGATTCTGACAAGTTTTTTTTTTTATTTCTAACATCTTCAAGGCATGTCATAATTGACTAGTAATTGGAATGAAACAATGAAATATTTTAAAACTATTCGTTAACGTTATATAAAATAAACGATATTAAATCGAGCAAGCACTTATGGTCGACTGGTCAAGTTGTTCACTTTTGTTCTCTCATATTTTCTTAGATCATGAATTCTAGATTTTCTAGGAACACTCTCATTAATTCTTTCCCCTATAATCCCTCTCCCCTCCCCTCTAAGTAGGATTAAGATTAGATTTAAAATTTATAAAAAATAATAAACGATATCAAGTCAATGTTATGAGTGTGAAAGAACACAATGTTCGATGAATTGTTCGATTAGGATTAGATTTAGAATTTATCAAATAATAATAATAATAAATGATATCAAGTCAACATTACAAGTGTAAAAGAATACAATGTTCGATGAATTATTCGTGAACCGTTTGTTTATTAAGCTAAATAAACAAGTATGAACAATTTTTTAAAGTTCATTTAATAAACGAATGAACACGCACAGAGGTGTGTTCTGATTCTTTTATGTTCACGGACAAACTCGTTTACTTGGTTCCCTTTTTCTCTTTTACTTTTTGCATTTTAAATATTGATGAATGTATAGATTAAATTGGACACATGATTCTTTTATGCTTAAGGACTTGTGACATAATTTCACATTCTAAGGAACTTAAAGATTGGTGGTGTAATTTCACCATTTTTCTCTGGGTTGCAAATAAAATAATAAATATAGACAAACAAAAACATTGACGAACATGTTGGTGAATAAAATAAACAAATGAACACAGACACAATATTACAAATTTAAATAAATACAAAACAATATAAAGCCTTTAAAAATAAATAAATGAGTAAAAACACAACCTCAATCGTTCAAACTCAATTCATTTATACCTAATCAACATAAAGTACATTTTATATCGGCAACTTTGACTTTTCTAAAAGATTGATGATCTAAAAATGAAATTAACTAAAAGTTGAAATAATATAAGATATAGAAATTAAGGAATAAACTCATTATTATGTTTTAATTTAATCTATACATAATTTATATTCATATGATATCTTCATATAGAACATAAAATTATAGGGACAGTAAATATGAATTAATATAAACCCACTAGCTTAATTAATTGAGACGATGATTGCTACATTATGATTGAAAGACACCAAATATTGAGTATGAGATTATGAAATTTCAATAATTTTAATTATATGCTAAAGCATGTTAAATATTCAATTCTTTTATTTTGCAAGTTGTAAAATAATTAGGTTTCAAAAGTCAATTTTATTTTCCATGGACAAAATGTAAAAAGAATAAGGGGGAAAAGGTGATGGAAAACAATTTAAATTAATGCATGAATTGCGGATTCAACTTGGAATTTTTGTTTCAAGTTATAAATCTATATTCATTATGGGCATCTGAATATATATAAAATGCAATTTTTTTTGCTTTACACGTATTATGATTGTTGGATGAACGGAAATAAAAAGTTAAGATTAACTCTTTATTTTTTTCAATAAATATTTTATTATTTTCTATTGTTAATTTCAACTATCTATTAATACTCATCCACCAATAATAAATCTGTATAAAATTAAAAAAAATATCAAAATAATATATACGTATATTATTTTTGGGGGTTTATCAAAGCATAGAAAATGACCTTTCATAGTTTTATTGTTTGTACCACATGAATGTATCATAAAAAACTCACCTAATATCCACATCTTAGCTTACCATAAAAGCAAAAGGGCAAACATCGAGACCCAACAAATATATTAAAAAACAATTTCATAAAATTCGTTACAAGGATGGACCGAAAAGAAAAGAGTGAGGGTAATTTTTCCTTAAAAGATTTAAATTAATATATTTTTAGATATTTTTTATATTTCTAATTGATAATTTATTTTTTTATCTAAATTCACTCATAATGAAGATCTTGCGTCCGTCCCTAATATAATACCTTTCAAATATTAAAACATGATATAACATGATTGTAGACATAGGAATACGGAGTGAAACTAAAGATGAGCATAAGATTTTATATAAATAAATATAAATTTAAAAATGATATTAAAAATTTAAGAAATATGAAATTATATAATTAATAAAAAAATAAAAACTTTAAATTATATAAAAATATATATTTTTTAAAAATGTGAATACACCCCAACATCGCTCGATTCATCGAGACTCAGAATGGTAAGGAAAAAGTAAATAAAATGAGGTTGAATTTAAGCCGTAGATGGTGACATTCAGCAGTAGACTGGGCTGGAAAACATGTGCGGGGATTAAAGACGAACAAAGGGGACTATTCACATAGTTTACCCTGTTTTTTTTTCAATGACTTATAAGATTATTTTATCTTAAATAATTTTACTATTTATATTTAAACTTTCAATTCTTAATTATAAGCTGGAATTCTAATTTTTTAAATTAAAATTTAAAATATAAATCATAATCCTTTAAATACAATTTGTAATTATAAAATGTGTGGATAATATGTTCAAATGTCCAATTTTAAACTTTTGATTTTTTAAAAATTAATTTTGGGTAAATTAATCTATTAACTATATTTGAATACATAAAATTTAAAATTAATTTGAGTATTGTGTTCAAATTTTCTAATTAACAAAATGTTAACGTGTTAAGAAATGAACTTTTTAATAAAATTGAATCTTTTGAAATAAATAAATAAATGGTCGATTAAGTTTTAACTTAATTGGCATCGTTAATATAAACATCGTTATTAGAATATTTAAAAGATCATAATTTTAAATATATATTTTTTGGTATATAATTTTAAATGTACTTAAATGTAATTCTTCGTAAATGTTAAATTATATTTACGATTTAAATTCGTATTTGTCGAATTTAATATTAAAAAATAATATTTAATTTTTAAGTTATCAGCAGCACATAAACCAAACCTTTAACTAAATCATATAAAATATTAAATGTATAAAAAAGATTTCGTAATTATTTTTTAAGAATTTATTTCCAAATTATTTGAAGGAATAGTATATATATTTGCAATAGATAGGTGGATCCTCCAACTTTCACCTTTAACCTTTGAATAGCCAAACCCCAAAAAAACCGAAAGCCAACAAAATAAAATCTATCTGACTTCGTTTCTCCCACACAAAGACATCACCAACCCCCAACTTTGCTTCCCCTATTTTCCCTCAAACCCATTTCCCTCCCCTTTTGGCTTTGGATCTGAGTTCTCTCTCTCTCTCTTTTCTTTCCCTCCAAAAACTGTTTTCTCCCTCGTTTACTTTGATCCAACCAAACCCATACGTTCGTTTTTTATGATTGTATGTTTCAGAATTGAAATGGGAATGCTCATAAAGAAAGCATGAGCAAGAACCCAATTGGTAGCAAGAACAGCAAGTTAAACCACGGCGATTTGACTCCAGAGGAGCAAGGAAAAGAGCAACGAAGAGGAGGGGAAGTAGTTGAAGTAAACGAGGAAGACGAAGAAGAAGAGTGTTTTTACGAATCCTTTGACCGCATTGCCGCTTCTAATTCTTGTTCTTCTTCGAACTCAACTTCTCCTTCTTCTGACTCGGATTCTGATCCAATTACCCGTTCGAACAATGCCGACCACCCATTTCCCGTCCCTAACTTTCCCAAAGTTGTTTCCCAGTTCGACATCTGGATCTCTGAACCCGCCTCCGTTTGAGAAAGAAGGACCCGTTTGCTACGTGAAATGGGGCTCAGCCGCCACCCGGGTCTTTCCCCGGATAAGACCCGGGTCAGAAACGGACGTCGGTGTGGGACGGGAAGTGGGTGGTTGTGGTACTTCTGGAGGGGAGTTTGGAAGAAGATCAATTTCATCGATTCGGTTGGTAAACAAAGAGTTCGAAGAGCAAGATCGTGGAGGAGAAGAGGAGACCAGTTCTTCTGCAATTGTGCGATCGAAATCAGATGGTGATTGTAATGATGCTGCCGTTTCTTCCTCGCCTTTACCCCTTTCTTCTAATTCATCTTCTTCGATTCTTTCTTTCGGTTCAGGTAGTGTAAATAATAATTACATTAGTGAATGCAATCAAAGTAATGCCGCTGCTGTTAACTTGAGACTCTGCGAAAGTAATGGATCTAAGCCACCCACGGGGCGGATTAGCAAGAGTTTCAATGGGGGACTTGGCTTTAAATCATTTGATGACGGGGAGGCTGTTGTGGTGGACGATGAGATGGATTGCAGCGAACAAGTGTGCACCATTAAGAACCTTGATAATGGGGAACAGTTTGTGGTGAATGAGGTTAGAGAAGATGGGATGTGGAACAAGTTAAAGGAAGTTGGGACAGGCAGACAGTTGACAATGGAGGAATTCCAGGTTTTTGTCGGGCATTCTCTGATCGTTCAAGAGTTAATGAGAAGGCAGAATGTGGAAGAGGGTAATAAAGATAATGCCGATTCGATTGTCAATAGTGGGGGTGTCGGTGTCTCAAAGTTGAAGAAGAAAGGGGGATGGTTTAAGAGTATAAAGAGCGTTGCTAATAGCGTGAAGGGTAATAAGGAAAGGCGAAGCAGCGACGAGAGGGATAACTCATCAGATAAGGGCGGGAGGAGATCAAGTTCCGCCACTGATGATAGCCAGGATGTTTCATTTCATGGGCAGGAGAGAGTGAGGGTAAAACAGTATGGGAAACCATGTAAAGAGCTCACTGCTCTTTTCAAGAGTCAAGAGATACAGGCGCATACAGGGTCTATTTGGAGTATTAAATTCAGTTTGGATGGCAAATACCTCGCCAGTGCAGGCGAGGATTATGTAATTCATGTATGGAAGGTTGTTGAATCAGAGAGGAAAGGTGATTTGTTGATGGAAAAGCAAGAAGATGGGAATTTGAGCTTTTTGCTTGTGGCTAATGGATTGTTGGAACAGACTCTGTCATCACCAAGTTCTGATCTCCATCCTGAGAAGAAGAGAAGAGGAAGGTCATCGATAAGCCGGAAATCGATGAGCCTAGACCACATTGTGGTGCCAGATACTGTATTTGCGCTCACAGATAAGCCTATTTGTTCTTTTATAGGACATTTGGATGACGTGCTTGACCTCTCATGGTCCAAGTCTCAGGTTAGTCACCAGACTGTATCAATATAGTTTGATTTTCAGGTTTCTAGGAAGTAATGTTATTGGGAAGAACTTTATTTAGTGTTTCCGTTGTCAGCCTTTAGAAGCCTTATAAACTAAATCTCTGGTGTCATTGTAGTTGTCTATTTACTTGGATTTAGTTTTTCAGTTAATAGATGTGTTGGTTTTTCTTATACCAAACATTTATCGTATAGTTTCATGCTGGCTCAAGGTAAACAAAGAAATGCATTTTTGTTCTTTTCGGATCTCCAGCTCTGTGAGATGGATTTTCAGATCAAGTTTCTTGGACTGAAAAAACTTAGTAGCTTGATCCGAGAACTCTATCTTCTACTTTCAATGTGAACAGAGTTGAAAACCCAGGCATCTGCTTGTAATGCACTTAATCAGCAGTTATATGTGAACATAACTGGTTGAAATACATGTGAATTTCACAAATTATGAAATTTATTGCCATCCTGCTTGAGTTATTGTTTTTTATGCTTCTATGATACCTTCTTCCTTGTTACCAGTTCATGGTTAAGGTTCCTGTTGACACCGTAATATACCTTGTGGGCTCTTTTAGATCGTCTTAGGACCATGTTAGAATTTGCATCCATAATAAATGGTTAGAAATGTTTTTGGTTCTACCACCACAAGTTTTTATAAACCATTCTGAACGTTCATGACATTAACTGAAATTGAATTCATTAAAAGGCCTTCAAATTTTAAACAATGCTGAAGTGACGCATCCATGTATTCCTTTTATATTTGTAGCAAGCTTCTCGAAGAGGTCGTTGTTCGATCACTTTTTAAGATTTTTTTCTATTTTTTCTTTTCAGCAATTGCTCTCATCTTCAATGGACAAAACAGTTAGGCTTTGGGATTTGACTAGCAAGAGTTGTTTGAGAATATTTTCACACAGTGATTATGGTAAGTAAATCACTGTTTAACTTCGGATTTTAACCTCATAATGTCCCCGTTAAGAACATCACTAAATTGTAGTCTTTTTTTTGGATAAATAGTTAGAATACATAAGAGCAGCAAATGACTTAAGATTTACTTTTGTCCTCCATAGTTGTAATATCAACCTTTGCATCAACCCAAAAAAACTTGAGACTCTTGAGGAGCTAAATCTTTAGTGTAATTTTGTGCGCCTTAGAATGTGCACAGAGTTCAATCATGTTAAGTGTGTTTTGTTGTTGGTTCAATTAAAATTGTAATTCAAAGATCCAACATAAAGAAATATATAATTAGCCTTTTCTTGTCTCTTGAAATTGACTTATGTATTACTGATCATGCTTTATTCTTGTGGATCTGCCTCGACACAGTAACTTGCATCCAGTTTAACCCGGTTGATGATAAATACTTCATTAGTGGATCCTTAGATGCTAAAGTTCGCATATGGAGCATTCCTGATTGTAAAGTTGTTGATTGGAATGATCTGCATGAAATGGTCACCGCTGCTTGTTTTACACCGGATGGCCAGGTTGGGAATGGTCAATTACAAGTTTGTTCTATATAATATATAATGAATAAGAAGCTCATGAAACTTCTATTTACTTTGAAGGGTGCACTAGTTGGCTCGTACAAAGGAAGCTGCCGTTTATACAATGCTTCCGGTACATGTTTATGAATTCTCTCTCCCTCTCTCTCTCTCTCTCTCTATCGTCTGTACTTGTGCTTTATTTTATGGATGACTCACCCAAGAAGTTTCCTGCATTCATGCATCTTTTCTCCAGAGAACAAGTTGCTACAGAAAAGTCAAATTAATTTGCAGAATAAAAAGAAGAAATCTCATCAAAGGAAAATTACAGGTTTCCAGGTAATCCCATGCCCCTGCTGGCTGCTGCTTGAAATTCTATGTTAAATATTGAAGGCATATTTCTTACTTTGAACCCTTTTTTTTAATGTGTTTTGCTACCTTGTGTTCACTTTATACTTCCCCCTGCTGGTTACTTTCTCAAACAGTTTGCACCCGGAAGTTCATCAGAAGTACTCGTCACATCTGCAGATTCACGAATTCGGGTTGTTGATGGTTCTGATCTGATTCACAAGTTTAAAGGTAATTCTTCATATGATATAAATATGTGCATGAGATTCTGGAATTATGCTGATTCCACTGATGTTGTTGACTATATGTGACAGGATTTCGGAACACAAACAGCCAAATCTCTGCTAATGTTACGGCAAATGGAAAATATGTTGTCTGTGCTAGTGAGGACTCTTATGTTTACGTGTGGAAACACGAAGTAGAATCAAGGCCTGCCAGAAATAAAGGAGTCACCGAGACACGCTCTTATGAACATTTTCACTGTAAAGATGTATCAGTTGCCATCCCTTGGCCAGGCATCGGTGACACTTGGGGACTGAGAGATACACAATTGAACGATCAGAATTGCTTCGATGACAATGCCGATGAAGTTTCAACAGCCAATCATCCTCCTACACCTATTGAGGAATATAGTGGAAATGAGGGTTCATTATCAGCATCCGAGTGCACCAATATCCCTCTCCATGGAACCATTTCAAGCGCCACCAATAGCTACTTCTTTGACAGAGTGTCAGCTACATGGCCGGAGGAAAAACTACTTACATCAACACGGACCTGGAACAGCCCCAAGGCAAGTATGGACATATCTGGGGTTAACCCAAACATGTCAGCCTGGGGTATGGTGATTGTAACTGCTGGGCTTAGAGGTGAGATTAGAACTTTCCAAAATTTCGGATTGCCAATTCGAATTTAATTGGGTAAGGAACCTCAAGGGTGGTGGGAAATGAGTTTGATCATATGTGAGTACAATCCATTTCTCTCCACCTTTGTGTACAGAGAGATATCGGTTGAGATTTGTAATATTAGCCACTTTCATTTCTTTGTTTGTGGCTATGCTCACGAATGTTGGGCAAAATATAGATTATTTTGACAGAAAAAGGAAGAAACTACGCCCTGAATTTAGATTCCGACGAATTTCCGATGTCAGAAATTGTAGAGTTTGAGTTGAGGCGGAAAGCCTATTGAGTTGGAAATGAAATTCTTTCACTACATACTATCCTTCATGAGAGATTTAAGCTTTTTCTTTTATTGTTATTTTCCAAGCCTAACGAAGGTGAAGCAAATATCCAAAATAACCATGCATCATAGCATCGTATCTACGTGAGTATTTAAATTTGTTTGATAAAAAATTATGATTAGGGATGGTAACAAGATGAATTTTTTTTATTAATCTGACCCTACATGAGTATCCTATTTTTTCTAATTTTATATTTGAATTCGATCTGATTTGAATTTAAAGATGAAAATTTGCATTCAATTCGATTTAGTTTGACACATATACACACATATATAAACTACTTTATTAGATAAAATAAATGTTTAATTAAAAAAATATATAGAGAATGCATTATAGTAAATATCTCTAATTACAGAGAAAAAGATATTTTTATCATTTCATATTAGGTTATATAAAATTTAAACTCAATTTGATTTATTCTCACCATGTATAGCATCTGACCTTACTCGACTTGAATATAATATTAAAAAAAATAAATTTATTAAAACAAATCAAATCAAAACTTATCAAATTCAAATTAGATTATCATTCAACAAAAACATATATGAAACTACAATATGATACAAATATACATAATTACAATATGAAACTACCGCAATCTGAAAAATTCAACATCACCCTAATCCATTACACTGTATCTCCCCCCAGTAGATACCATTGTCCACTCCCTGTCCCTTTCAATCCTCTCATAAAACCAGACCCATTAGTTGGGCCCCATGCTTTTACCAGGAGAAAGAAAATATATTTAAAAAATATCATTGGAAATCCAAAACTCAAACCCTCATTGGCTACACACCTGGAATTGATATGGCATATACATGACCCTGCTAATTATCTTATCCTTCCATTAACTTTTCCTTTTCCTTTTCTTTTTCTTCCCACCTTATATATATGCCACCATTAAAAGCTGTTTGACACACTGCTTCCCTTTGGGAGTCTACAGTTCAAAGTTGTTAATGGCTCTACAGACAGCTGCTTTGGTTCCAGCTACTTTCTCTCTGCCTAAAGAGGTTTGTCTTCAAGTTTTGTACCCATTAATTAGGTTCCTTTTTTTATGTTTTAATGGCGGGGTTTTGATTGTTTTTACAGGGAAAATTTAGTGCATCTTTCAAGGATACAACTTTCTTTGGAGTTTCACTTTCCGACAGTGTCAAAGCTGATTTCAGTTGTTCTGCATTAAGATGCAAGGTTTCATATGTTGTTTTTTTGTCCACAATCAAACATTGAAGTTACATGTTTCATATATTGTTTGTTTATGTTGTTTTTTTTTTTTGGTGAAATTTGAGGATCTTATGTTTCATTGTAGAGGGAATTCAACCAAAGAACTGGAGCTGTGAGAGCCCAAACGACGGCTACTGAAGCTCCTGCCAACACCAGATCCGCCGTGGATGGCAAGAAAACTCTGAGAAAGGGTAGTGTTATCATAACCGGTGCCTCCTCTGGGTTGGGTTTAGCCACCGCTAAGGCCTTGGCTGAAACTGGGAAATGGCATATTATCATGGCTTGCAGGGACTTTCTCAAGGCCGAGAGAGCAGCAAAGTCTGCTGGCATGTCTAAAGAAAACTACACCATTATGCACTTAGACCTTGCCTCGTTGGACAGCGTCCGGCAATTCGTCGATCGTTACAAGCAATCAGGGAGGCCTCTTGATGTTCTTGTTTGCAATGCTGCTGTTTACCAGCCAACTGCCAAGGAACCCTCTTTCACTGCTGAAGGATTTGAGCTTAGTGTGGGAACTAACCATCTTGGTCACTTCCTTCTTTCCCGGTTATTGCTCGATGACCTGAAGCAATCCGATTATCCGTCGAAGCGTCTCATTATTGTCGGTTCGATTACAGGTAAATTATTTCCAATGTATTCGAAATGATCATGTTACAAAAGACTGTTATATAGATGTACTAACTTGGGGTTGTTTTTTTTGCTACAATGAATCAGGAAACACGAATACCTTGGCTGGAAATGTACCTCCCAAGGCCAACCTTGGGGATCTAAGGGGACTTGCAGGGGGACTAAATGGGCTGAATAGCTCAACCATGATCGATGGTGGAGAATTCGACGGTGCCAAGGCATACAAGGATAGCAAAGTCTGCAATATGCTCACTATGCAAGAATTCCACAGGCGGTTCCACGAGGAAACCGGCATCACATTCACTTCCCTTTACCCGGGCTGCATAGCTACCACCGGCTTGTTCAGGGAGCACATTCCGTTGTTCCGACTCCTCTTCCCTCCATTCCAGAAGTACATCACCAAGGGCTTCGTCTCCGAGGAGGAAGCCGGAAAAAGACTAGCTCAGGTATAAACAAAGACCAACATAATGAACATTCAGTAGCAGAACTTGTATAAAGCATCGAGTGTTGTTTTATGTCTCGTCAATCAACACAACTATACTGCTTTGATGTAGGTCGTGAGCGAGCCGAGCTTGACGAAATCGGGTGTGTACTGGAGCTGGAACAAGAATTCGGCTTCATTCGAGAACCAGCTGTCTCAGGAAGCGAGTGATGAGGAGAAAGCACGCAAAATATGGGAGCTGAGTGAGAAACTGGTGGGGCTGGCCTAAGTTAGAGCCTTGAGACGCTTGCCACTTTGATGTTTCCTTCTATTGGCAAAGCGTCTGATCTAAATATCTAATTGATTGAATGGAGTGCTGCTGTAAAACCTTCTTCTTTTGTAGATTGTAGGTGAATGCCATTTGTCAGTATGATGATGCGCAAAGCAAAAAATAATAAGTTGCCAATTTCCTTGAGCAGTTCTTCGTGTTTTTAATCAACAGCAAAATAACATTCATAAAATTTATTTTTCGATTGTTATTTCAATCCAACATTTTTGTTCTTTATATGTAAGCTTATGTAGATTTTGCTCAAGCTACATTGCTCTTAATGTGGCACACAATTGAAGAAAGATATCAAGCATTCCCCTTCTCCATTCAACTCTGCCTTTACCTGGTTGATTCGAAACGGATAACATCTTCTTAAACTTGAATTGAATTAAATTGAAAGAATATACTTTCTGAAAATTTTTGTTGATAATATTAACGCGACCCAATCCAACCTGATAAAGACGATAACTTTACCTTTTTTTATCTTTGGTTCTTGAAAAGGAAAAAGCTCTCTCTTCTTTCCTTGGGATTATAATACAACTTATTAACATAAGACTAAAAAAATGACACATTGATTATAACAAAATATTTTACCAATTAATTAGTTAAAATAACTTTTTTTATTGTAACCAAAATTATTACAAATGAAGTATATAACTTTTCCGATTGTAAAATTTAAATTTATCATAATGTAACATTTTTAGTTCTAACTGAAAATGTTATAAATTTAATTTTTACTTTGAAATTGAGTATTATAGGTGTCTATGATGTTCCATCTCTTGCTTGTTTACCGAATCTCAAGACTCTTCATTTTGTATATTATTTTTTAAATTGTCTAGAGTGATTATAAGATAGTATATGCTCATAATTTTTCTTAACCATTAATAATGTATACACACTCTACATATAAAGTTGATTGAACTCAAGACTTGAAGCTTAGAAAGATAAAAACACCATTTCCAGCGGTTCTATCATAGCCGTTCAGCTCATTGACGTGAGGAAGATGGCCGTCCATGTACTTGTTGTGGTGGTCATCGTTGTGATGTTCCAGGAGGAACCTGTGACCCAAAGTGAAGCTTAAAGATAAAAAACACCGACAGAGTAAAGACTGCAAATTTTGTTACTGACACCATCTTTGTGTGTCTTCTCTTTCGATGCTCAATCAAACCAATGGTCATCAATACATTTTATAGGCTCAATCAATCCAACAGAAAGGCGGGAAAAAGCTAATTGTGTTCTGTTCGTTAAATCCGGAAGCATTGATTGCATGATGACTTGTTTTCCCAGCAACGCCAATCTTAAACACAGCCGTCTTTTACACCTCAAGCCTGCTCATCAGATTCAAGCATTGCGTATGTATCTTGGATCGGGTAATGAATTATCTTAAACACTTAGATATGCGAATAAACCAACGTTCAAGTTTTAGGGTTTAAGGTTAATTTATAAATTTTATCCTTTCAAAACTATTTAGTTTAGGTTAAGTTGTATACACAACTTTACTAATAATATGAGTTTATCGAGTGTATTCAATGGTAAAAGAAAATGTTATTCTTCTTAAAGAATTTGAGTTCAAGTGATTGCGTCTACATCATTATTAATAGACTAAAAAATTATAATAAGATATTATCTAATAATCACCCAAAACTATTACTTTTAAATAAGATTGTATAATTTTTGTAACCCAATCAATTGCTTGTACTTCCGTATGTTTTTTTTAATAGTATAGAGTGATTATAATATAATATATGTTCAGAATCTTTCTTAGCTATTGAATACACACACTTGTAGATGCAACTGCTTGAACCTAATACCACGATAATAATACTTTTTTTAACCATTGAGACCACTCCCACCTATCTCTTTAAATCCAAAGAAATAATTACATATTCACCTAATGATATTTCATAATTATCCTTTTATCTTTAAAAAAATCATGTGTAACAAGAGAGTCAATCACTACTCCAAATAATAGATACTTTTTTTTGAATTGAATTGAAAGAAACTTAAAACAGGAAGCTAAATATAAGCAGGGTCTTCTTGTTGAGCTGCATTTGCTTCCAGGTAAAGGAGGTCTGTAATCTCATCTGGTGGAGACTCAAAGTGAACCATACGAAAGTGCTGCCACTGGGCAAGCTTGGCCAATTTGTCTGCGATCATGTTCCTATTTCTTGGAACCCACTGGATTCTTGTCTCCCATGCCCGTTGACGCAGGTTTACAATAACACGAACTAAAGAAATATGACTAACAGACCTTCCGCGCCGTCTTCCAGAAGCTTAATTG